TGGTCCTCGGCCCACAAACTGAGGAACGCTGCTATATGTAATACAGAAAAGATAAGAATAAACTCTTGCATGTCAAAGAAAAACTTTGTTCACCCAAACAAGAATTGTCATACTTTTTATTTATTTTATGTCATATTTTATTACTTCAGACATCTTCAATATTTTCCCTGAGGCGGCCACTCGAAGTTTCACCAGATTGGCATCTAGTGAACTTTGATACTCAGTTTATCAATCAAATTATTTATTCTTTTAACTGTGTTAAAGTTTTCTGCTTAATCACTTGTATATTGAATATGTATTTTCGACACAAATCACCATTATTTACGGCTGCCACTAGGTAAATGTTGTGTGTAATTGTTTTAATATTCTTTTTACTGCATCCTGTCTATATTGTACATTTAATTAGTAATTATCATAAGGATTGTTTCATGAAATATGCATTGTTCGTAATGATAAATCTGATTGCAATGCAAGAGTTTCAGCATGTATCGGGTGAACATGACCTCAGTATGAGAGTGTGAATATATACTATATAAATGTGATTGTAGTATTATGAGTGTGAACTATGTGAACACGATTACTTTGCTTTTCTCTGTAATAAGATGAATTTAAAAAATTACAAGCAGTCTGGAATATTAAATTTAATTCTCATTCATTAGGTTAAATATTAATAGTAAGAATATACATCTTTTCCAAACAGTTTCTGTAAAGGAATAAACAAACACTGATTAAAATTAAGTACAGCAGAAGTAATATACTTAATTTTAATACTATATAAGTTCTGATTCAGAAGTCAAACAACAAAAATCAGCGTTAATTCACAAAATTTTCACACTGTGAAAATTTTGACTGACTTTGACACTGTGAAATTTGACACTGTGAAAATCAGCGTTAATTCACAAAATTTTCACACTGTGAAAATTTTGTGAATTAACGCTGATTTTTGTTGTTTGACTTCTGAATCAGTATTTATTCGGCGTGTTATTGTGTCTTAACTATATAAGTTGTAGAGTTCCTCACTGTGTAATTCTAGGTTACCGATGGAAGTAAAGAATCTAAAGAACTGATAAGCGAATAATCGCTTGAGTTCGTATGACAGAAAACAAGAAGATAAAAAGGTAAACTAACCCTTTATTATTCCAACTAAAATTTAACAAAACTTCGTCTTGGAGTGTACAATAAAGCCGACATTTGGGCTTTAAACTTAGGAGACTATGAATAATACTAAACTAATCTAAACTAAAGACGTATAGCCGAAGCTATCATTATTCTAACAGAGTTGGCCCTTAGCGTTAATAGACTGCGAAGCTATCAAGGGCATAAAGTACGGCCGAGCCTGACAATAGCTTACGAGAGAGAAACCTAAAAAAGGCGGACGTGTACGAACCTGGTATCTCTCTCCCTAAAACCGAAGAAGTACAATGCATCTATTAAATTAAATTTATTATGAAAAGTAATAATTTATTTATGCTTGCCTATTCAGCAGTAGCCACTTTTAAGGCCAGAATTGGGGACCATTTTATTGTGGAGGCACCTAATACGCGGCCACCTTTCCCTTCTATAAAGGGACGGACAGTTAGAATCATGCCTTCTTCGCGATTTGAAACCGGGCCCGTCGGTACGGCAGCGGAATTCCCTACCACTATACCGTCTGGGTGGCACTGAACTAGAAACGTTTTAGGAACTGCTCGTAGAGAGATCAGACGATGCTTCTAGGAAGAAATGTGTTCCGTCTCGGTTAGAATATTTATGTCTATTTGTACTGGCTTAATGTTTGCAGCGCCACGTAATGTTAGTGGCGAGAGCCCAGTACTAATCAGTAAGCGATAGGGATGCACTCGGTCCACACCGAGTCTCCGCTCCTCTGCCCGAACAAAGTGGCAGTCAATTGTTAATTGTTCTTTACTCACTCTTTGCCCGTTTAAGCGGCATTGAAAGAAAATAAATGTTTTTAAGTTTCTCAACTTGACTTTCATGAATTAATATACAGTCCACAACTACCAATTGTTATCAACATTTTGGTACTAACCGACCCGGAGAAAGAACAGCAACTATGGATAATGTAATTTTAAATAGGCAACGCGGTTGTCTGAAAGCAAAAGTCACAAAACTGGAACATTCTCTGCGTGACTTCGTCGAAAATGAAGAAAGTGAATGATTTTTAGAAGTGAAATTGCAATCACTATCAGGAATAAAGCGATCCTTGGATGAATTAAAACAGCGGTACTTCAATCTACCAGCAGACGTCTCCATAGAGGAATCCTGTGAGATTATTGAAGGACTGGAGGACGATCTGGAGAAAATGGAGGTAAGTCTCAATACCTCCTTTCAAAATTAAAATCAAAAGTTAATGCATTACCAGTACGTAAAAATACTGTTGAAAATATTAATGTTAAATTGCCTGAAATACCTTTACCTCAATTCTCGGGAAAATATGAAGAATTTCATGATTTTAAATGCCAATTCATATCCTTAATTGCTGAAAATGAGAAATTAACTGAAACACAAAAACTTTATTATTTAAAGGCTGCTCTTAAAGGAGAAGCAAAAAATATCGAGAATTGCGAAGATACATATCAGTCACTGTTTCAAGCTTTAGAATTAAGATATGAAAATAAACGAGCGATAGTGGATAGTCATATTCAAAATATTTTGAATCAAGAAAAAATTCAGCAGGAATCACCTAAGAAACTTCGCCGATTATTAGATCATACCAAACGCAATCTAAGCGCCTTAAAAACGTTAGAGTACAATCTTGATAAGCTATCTAATGCAATTTTAATAAATATTCTCCTTCAGAAAATTGACAAGGAAACCCGGAAGCAACTTGAGCTTACCTTAAAATCTAAAGACGTTCCATTACTCGATGAAATTTTAAATTTTCTTGAAAACCGAACTTTGGTACTAGAAAGCATTCATAAAAATATGCCTATCAAATTTCCTCCTAAACCCAGTATCGGTGCAAAACCAAAAGGTTTTGTTATAAATTTAATTCATTCCAACTCAAAAATATGTATCAATAGTAAAGGAAACCATGCCCTCATTAAATGTAGTGCGTTCAAACAAATGAATGTTGGAAATAGGCTCATTATCGTCAAAAATAAAAAAAAATTATGTGTGAATTGTCTAAAAACTCATTCCGGAGAATGCAATTCAAACTTTTCGTGCAGCCACTGTTTCCGAAAACATAATTCCCTTCTCCATATGGACAATGACCCTCAGAGTCCAACGGCCACTCCCTGCTTTCCTCCAAACCAGGGGAAACCAAACCCCTCCGAAGAAGCTTCGGGTGACAATATACAGCAAGCAGTACATACACTGCTGTGCAAAAATTAAGGACGAAGTCGAAAAATTAGCATATCAGTTGAACGAAGAGGCAGAGCGGACAGAAAGACCAATCAGGAGATTAAGTAAGGTGATGTACGGTAGCACATGCGCAGATATGCAGGTAGACGTAATGGGGGAGTGTCTGAGTAGTATAAAGCATGTTGTCGGTGTAAGATCAGTATTTCTGGCAAAGAGATTCCGTGCCGTATAGCAGTTAAAATCACACCGAGTTGCTGCATCAGCAAGAAATGGCGAATAATCAATCTGTTAGACGACATCTGGATGCTTTAACCCGAGGTCGAATCATTGGGAAGTTGGAGGAAGGCCGCAGTGTGACAAGTATGGCTGCAGAGTTCGGAATTGCTCACAGCATCGTTTCATGACTTTGGAGACAATTTCAAACTACAGGAACAGCTATCCGGGAGTTTAGTAGTGGTCGTCCACGAAGAACCACACCCGCAGATGACCGGTATACTTGCCTTACAGGCCAGAAGAAACAGGCGGCAGACAGCGGGAGAAATCGCTTAGACACACGACACAGGGCGACTGGACGACCGATATCGCGTTTTACCGTGGCCAGAAGACTGCACGGTGGTGGTCTGTTTGCACGACGCCCTGTACGGTTGTACCTCTAAACGCCTGCCCATCGGAGAAGGCGTTCTCTGTGGTGCCGGGAACACCGGAATTGGAGAGACAATGAATGGGGACGAGTACTCTTTACAGATGAGAGCAGATTCAGTCTGAGTTGCGATTCTCATCGCATACTCATCTGGAGAGAGCGGGGAAGCCGCAATCTTCCCTCGAACATCATTGAAAGGGACAGCTATGGAGGTTGCGGTGTTCTCGTTTGGGGAGGCATCATGCCCAAACGAGAACGTAGTCGGACAGACCTTCACATCTTCGACGCAGGTTCAGTCAACGGGACCCGTTATTGTAACGAGATTCTTCTTCCATATGTGCGTCTTTTTAGAGGCGCTATGGGTCCGCAGTTCCTTTTCATGGACGACAACGCACCATATCATCGCACAGTAGCTGCCGAACAGCTTTTAGAGAGTGAGGATATTGAACGTATGGATTGGCCGGCAAGATCTCCGGATCTCAATCCCATCGAGCGTGTATGGGATTTTCTAGGCAGACGCTTGGCAGCTCGTACCTTACAACCAGTAACGATTCCGGAGCTTCGATTGGCGCTGCAAGACGAATGGGCAGCAATACCTCAACAACTCATTGACACCCTCATTCTCAACATGGGCAGACGCTGTGAAACCTGCCTAGCAGTCCGGGGAGATCATATCCCCTATTAAAGATCGGATGTTTCTTGCTGGACACCCATCACAGGGATGTTTCGGCCTTCAGTCGCATTGCGCTCCATGCTACTTTTTCAATAAAGCTTCTTTTCATCCCTGTGATTTCTCTTTTAGTAAGTGTTGCTTACATTACTCATGTCCTTACGTATTGGGGATCTTACGGTATTAAATGTGTTGATTTGGAAAGCTTTTGTACAAAGTTATATTGAAAAAACCGTCTCGTCCTTAATTTTTGCACACCAGTGTAGTCTTGCATCTATTTCCGGTGCGGGAAACTCTGTCTTACTGAGTGCGGTGGTTATTTACGTGACGAATGTATTCGGGTAGCGCTGCAGAATAAGAGCCTTACTGGACTGCGGTTCGCAAATGAGCCTCATCACCAAAGAATGCGTAGAATTTTTGGGTTTGAAAACTAAACCCATCCGAACGCATATTAAGGGAATAAGTGGTTCAGGTCATTCAATCAAAGCGAAGATTTTAGCCCATATTTCGAACGAAACAGATACTTTTTCTCACAATTTAGAATTATGTATTATTCCAAAAATAACAGATGTAATTCCTTCGACAAAACTGGATATTTCTAATTTAACGATACCGCATGACATTACATTAGCAGATCCTAACTTCTATACACCTGGTAAAATCAATACATTGATAGGAAATGAACTATTCTTTCACATCTTGAGGGAAGGTAGAGTTCAAGCGCTGAATGGAAACATAATATTGCAAAACACAGAATTTGGTTATTTAATGACAGGGATCGTACCTACTGTTAATAATCAATCGTATTGTTATTTGATAAAGGAATCAAGTCTCGATAATGCAATTAAGAAGTGTTTCGAATTAGAATCCTTCCCAGGAGATGGTAAGAAATTCGTAAAGAATGAAGAAGAAATATTTTGCGAAAGGCATTTTAATGAAACATACTCGCGTGATAAAACAGGTAGATACATAGTAAAATTACCTATGAAGGACGATGCAACTATTATTCTGGGTTCATCTAAAGAAATTGCTATTAAGAGACTGAATACAATTTGGAATCGTCTTGGTGCTAATAAAACTATGGCTAATTTGTATAAGGAGTTTATGAACGAATATTTAAACTTAAATCACATGGAACCTGTTATTCCCGTGGATAACTGTGACACTTGTTACTACATTCCGCATCACGTAGTTTATCGCCCGTAGAAAACTTCAACTCGATTAAGAGTTGTTTTCGATGCATCGTGTAAATCATCCAGTGGCTATTCGCTTAATTCAATTTTATTGAACGGAGGCACAATTCAGGAAGACCTTTTTTCTATAGTTTCCAGGTTTAGAAAACATCGCTTTGCCTTTAGTGCCGATATTAAGCAGATGTATCGCCAAATACTCATACATCCATCGCAAAGAAATTTACAGAGAATTGTTTGGAAGCCAAGCCGCGAGGCCCCAGTTCAAGTGTACAGGTTACGTACGGTTACATACGGTACTACTAGCGCGCCGTTCTTAGCCATGAGAACCTTAAAGGCATTGGAAGCTGACGAACAGGACTATGTTCCCAGGGCGGCTGCTGTCACATCTACGGATTTTTATATAGATGATATCCTGACAGGAGGAAATACTTTAGAAGAAGCAAAGGAGCTTCAGTCTGAATTAGTACAAATGCTTCGTCGTGGAGGTATGGAGCTACATAAATGGGTGTCCAATCATCCTGAGCTGCTGCATGATATTTCAACACAGGAATATTCCTTTGAATCTCGAGAAAGTGTAGTGAAGACGCTAGGAATGCTCTGGAAACCGAAGGATGATCACTTGACTTTCAAAACAGCTGTGAACAATCAAGATAGCTTTACTAAACGTCAGGTGTTATCTGAAATAGCTAAGCTTTTAGATCCATTGGGTCTCATCGGACCCGTAGCAACGAGGGCAAAAATATTTATGCAGAGACTATGGCTGCTGAAACTTGACTGGAACGAGGAATTACCTCCTAAGGAGTTGTGTGAATGGAAAAAATTCCTTTCCCAGCTTCAGTTAATCGATCAATTGAATATTCCCAGATATGTTTTAACTGAATATTCCGTTAGAACTGAGATCCATGGGTTCTCGGACGCTTCGGAAAAGGCTTATGGTGCAGCTATTTACATCCGTTGTATTACCACTGATGGAATGAATTATTCCAATCTCCATTGTAGTAAATCCAGAGTTTCTCCTTTAAAGCCTGTTACAATTCCACGTCTTGAATTGTGTAGAGCATTACTTCTGTGTAGGCTTGTGTCAAAGGTAATAAAAGCTCTGCAGTTAAGTATCGATGATGTTTACTTGTGGTGTGATTCTATTATTGTTCTAGCATGGATAAACACGCCTGTGTACAAGCTCAAAACTTTTGTGAGCAATCGAATTGCTGAAATTCAAACCTTGAGTCACCAATTCAAATGGGGTCATGTTGCCTCAAAGGAAAATCCAGCGGATATAATATCCCGAGGAGCAAGACACTAAGTGGAACTTTTGGCTAATTCCTTGTGGTGGTCAGGTCCTGAGTTTTCCTCAATCAGCAACTTCCATTTCCAGAATGCATTTCTTATTCGTCGGACGAGGAGTATGAGAAAGAACTGAAACAATCATCAATTCCAGTTCTGACTTTGACAATGAATTGATCATTTTATAGACTCTTTTTTAAAAACTTTCCAATAATTTTCCTAAGCTAATCAGAATTCTCAGTTTTATTTTCAGGTTTATCTTAAATTGTAAATCCCAGGATAAGATGCAGGGATATTTAACTATAGATGAGATGAAAAAGGCTGAGGAGTTTCTTATACGGCATGCCCAATTAACTGCCTTTAAGTCAGAAATTACAGCTATTCGACGAGGTAAACCTATTCCTGCACAAAGTACCGTATTTTTCGCCGTATAAGACGCACCGGCATATAAGACGCACCCAATTTTAAAGGAGGCAAATCTAGAAAAAAAAGATTATGAACCAAATTCTGTAGTAAAATATTTTATATCAACTGTATAAAGTTAACAGCAGTTTAAGAAAAATTTTATGTCAACCATGTAACATACTAAGAGCTATCTTTACTCTCATAAACAGTCAGCAAACAGTGAAAGTAACAAAAATAAGGCTGTCATGTTTTTATTCTAACCCCAAGAATTCCTCTTCTTCGCTGCTATCAGAAATGAGGAAGGACAGAGCCACGCAGTCATTGTCATCACTTTCTTCCTCACTGGTGTCAAATAAGACGTCGTCTTCTGTTCCATCCAAGGCATTACTAATGTCACACTTCTTGAATGATTTTACAACAATGTCTTTCTTTACGGAGTCCCATGACCTTTTAACCCATTCACACACTTGTGTGATAGTGGGCCTCTTCATCCGTCCAGTAGGAGTCAGATCATGGTTCCCAGCTGCCATTCAGGTGTTCCACTCCTCTCGCATCAGAACTTTGAATGGTTTGTTAATAGAAATGTCCAGAGGTTGCAGCTGGCTGGTAAGACCACCAGGAATGAAGGGTCTATTTGGGTCTTAACTTCCTTAAAGTTCTTTTTAGTAGTTTCTGTAATGTGCGCTCTGAACTGGTCAAGCACCAACAAGGAAGATTTCTTCAGAAGCCCGCCAGGACGTTTGGACCACACTTTGTCAATCCACAGCCTCATGCCATTTTCGTCCATCCACCCTTTATTATGAACGTGCACGATGACTTCCCGTGGAATTGTTTCTTTTGGGAATGTTTTCCTTTTAAAGATCAACATTGGCGGCAGTTTGGTACCATCTGCACAGCAGGACAGCACAACCGAGTAGTGGGTTTTCTCATGCCCTGAGGTTTTTACGGTTATGCTTTTGGCTCCTTTGTTATCTACGGTTCTGTTAGATGGCACATCAAACGTTAGCGGGACTTCATCCATGTTCCCAATCTGGCTCAAAGTTATTCTTCTTCCTCGCATCAATAACAAACTTATGAAAAGACAGAATCTTTGATTCGTATTCCTTTGGCAATTTTTGTACAATTCTGGTTTTGGTGCGCATAGAAAGGCCAGATCTCTTCATAAATCTATAGCACCACGATGGTGATCCGGTGAAATCCTGAATGCCTTTCTCCACAGCAATGCGTTTGTCCTCATAGATTATCATTTTTGTTGAGACAGAAAGTCCATTTTGCCGGTGGCGTGTGATCCACTCCTTTACTTCTACCTCTAACTCTGGCCACTTTGAAGTTGGTCCACGCAAGGTGTGCTTGCTTTTATCCAACTTTTGGAGCTGATCCTCCTTTTTCCTCATTCTCTCTCTTATCATTTTCTCAGTTGGAGGTAGCCCAAAGTGTCTCTCCGCTGCTCTGTTTCCATGCTCCTTAGCAAATTTTTATTACTTCCAGCTCTAAAGCAACTTTATATGCCAGTCTCTTCTGCTTCGCTTCGACATCTTGATGGGGTGGTATGAAATATGATATATTTCATTCAGATATACCATACTACATATATCACAGCTCACACAGCTATCCGCGCCTCCGCTTGATCCCGATTGCTCCCGCACTGCGATTGGCTGAGCGAAGAGACGCGTGCCTTCACCCCGCTCCCGCGCTGGCTTACGAGACTCTAAAAAGTGCACAAAGCCAGCGCGGGAGCGAGCGAAGGCACGCGCCTCTTCGCTCAGCCAATCGCAGCGCGAGGCAGAGACCGTCCAAATACAGTGCGAGGCAGAGCGGGGCTTCCTTCCTGGTCTCAGACGGCGCCAAGAGGTGGAAGGGAACGCAGTGGCAGAGTATTCCTGCGGTAAGGTATGTATGCAGAGGTGGAGGGGCAGCGGAGGACCATGGTGGGCTTTTGTATTTAACCGTATAAGATGCAGGCACTTTTCCCCCCCCTGATTTTGGGGAGAAAAAGTGCGTCTTATACGGCGAAAAATACGGTAAGTTAAAAGTCTTGACCCTTTTCTAGATGAGAATTCTCTTTTAAGAGTTGAAGGATAAAAAAAACTCAAATTATTATTTGATTGTAAACACCAGTTAATTTTGCCTCCTACTCATAAAGTTACTGTATTGATTTTTGAATATTTTCATAAGAAGTACCTATATATTGGAGCGCAGTGGTTTACTTCATCAGGTGCGTTTGAAATATTGGCCCATTCATGGCAACGGCTTGGCTCGTAAGATAGTTCATGCTTGTGTGATTTGTTTTTAAAAACAAACCAATTGCAGCAAGTCAGGTCATGGGTAATCTTCTCCACTGAGCGTATAACTCCCGACTTCACCCTTTCTTAATTGTGGCGTTGACTTTTGCGGACCATTTCATGTACAATTCAAGGGTCAACGCAAGGGCATTTTTCCTAAAATCTATGTTGCTTATGCTGTTCCTAAAATTTATGTTATGTTTATGTCCACAAAGGCAATCCATTTGGAGATAGTGAACAGACTTGACGTCTGATCTTTATAGCAGCTCTTAAGCGATTTTGTGCGAGAAAAGGGAAAATCTCTTCCATCATTACAGATAATGCCACAAATTTTAAGGGGGCTCATACAGAGTTAAAGCGTTTACAGAAATTGATTAGAAAACCAGATGAGGCGTTATCCAGCTATTTCACCTCAGAATCTATAATCTGGAAATTAATTCCCCCTAGCGTCATCCGAATTTTGGTGGACTTGTGGGAAGCGGGAAGTTAAATCCTTTAAGTGCCATCTTAGAAGAACTATGGGAATGTACTAAGGTTACTATGGAAGAATTTCTTACAATCATTACTCAGAATTGAAGGAATTTTAAATTCACGCCCGTTAACCCCTATTATTATTATATTTAAATTATAATCGCTATGATTTAATGAATTTGAAGTTTTAAGTTTAACGCCAGGACATTTTTTAGGTCGGCCGTCCAATCACGTATATACCAGAGCCTGAACTTATTGAAATCACTGATAATAGGTTATCAAGGTGGCAGCGGAAAACAAAATTTGTTTAATTAATTTGGAAGCGTTGGCAAACAGATTACCTCAATCACTTGCAACAGCGCAATAAATGGCAGTTTCAGAAATCCAATGTAGAAACAGGTGCAATGGTTTTACTTAAGGAGGAGAATTTGCCGCCTTGCCATTGGGCTTTAGGTAGAATTTTAGAGACAATCCCTGGTACGGATGGTAAGGTACGTGTAGCTAAAGTTAAAACTGCTTCAGGAATCTGCACTAGATCTATATCAAAGATCTGTTTACTGCCAATGTAATATTCAAATTTCTACTGTATATATATTTCTGGAATCAGCTTATACATTACAAGAATTTAATAATGATTATATGTTTAAAGGATTTGTATGGCTTATATTGAAATGTATGTGTATTGTAACACTTTTTATGTCATATATTGTTTGCATAATTACTACTTTCAATATTTAAGGATCTTAAACTCCATAATTCAGTTTTAGATCTGTAGTAATCTGACAATTATTTATGTGATTATCAGTTTTGAAATATTGTGATTTGTCACTAATTAATAAATTGAAATTTTTGTATCAAATTTTAATGCCGGGCGGATGTTTCGTCTCGGTTAGAATATTTATGTCTATTTGTACTGGCTTAATGTTTGCAGCGCCACGTAATGTTAGTGGCGAGAGCCCAGTACTAATCAGTAAGCGATAGGGATGCACTCGGTCCACACCGAGTCTCCGCTCCTCTGCCCGAACAAAGCGGCAGTCAATTGTTAATTGTTCTTTACTCACTCTTTGCCCGTTTAAGCGGCATTGAAAGAAAATAAATGTTGTTAAGTTTCTCAACTTGACTTTCATGAATTAATATACAGTCCACAACTACCAATTGTTATCAACAAAATGATATGCATGTAAGACGCACTATTAGACGATGAATGTTACCTCGAAAATGGTTGCCTCAGCCATTATACTATGAAATGAGTTCTACAATGTGGGATTTCACATTACTTTTTAAAAGTAATTTACATAAATGCGGCTTAAATTTAAGTACTAACTAAATCTAAATGCTCTCAGTTTAAATATGCATAAATAAAGAAGAGTGTCGGTGTATTAGTCATGCAAATCTACGGTATTATTCCGAGCCTGATGAAATTCGGTAAACTTGACCTCCAAAATAAGAAGGTCACTGCCTACATTAGTATTAAAAAAACTACCCACGGGAACTGCGCTCTTTCAGAGTTTTACCGATCTGTGAAAGTGCGAGAAACAAACGGTTAATGATCTAACTGGGTTTTCGAAATTGCATTTTGTCAATATAGCGGTTTTTACAGTAAAATACTCATAATACTAAATATTTTCAGTCCTCCATGAACCTAGAAAGAAGCTATAGTTGATTGTTTGGAGCGTCACCACCATTTGGTACATAGGCATTAAGTGCTGAAATGTGGCTACCAGAAAGAGACTGCAGAAAATGAACTTTGCCCTATGTTTATGTATGCTTTTTTTAAATCAATTGCTACCAAAATTGTATTAAATAAAATAAACTTTTAAGTTATGGTAGTAACAAATAGAATTTTTTGGCATGTTTATTT